ATAAATTGCCTTTCTCCCTACTTTCTCACCTTCCCTTTTCCTTTTTTTATTTTAATTTTTAGCTCATCCTTTTAAAAAACATTACGGAATTAATTCCATCAGAAGATTTTTGTTGAAATATTAAACGGGGTTTTACAGATTTTCGACGAAATTAACTGTTTGTATCCTTTCACATGAAATCATGATTTAATTTTTGTTTGAATTACAATAATATGGTAGAGTCAAAGGTAAAAAAAATTGACTTGTGAAACATAAAGGGGAGTTGATGCTTCCACCAATGACCCTTTGTTTAAAATTTCTACATGACAATAATTGAGAAGTTGCTGTGATTTGTTCTCACTAGGGGATTCCTATTAATTTACAAAGAAAAAAGAAGTTTCAGGCACTAATTCACAATATATAAAAAAGCAGCCACAGGTGAAAAGGTTTTGTCAACCAAAGGGGGGCAGAGGTGTGATTTTCATGTCCTTTGGCTTTAAACAAATGCTAAGAGTCTTAATTATACTCATTTTATAATTAATATTAGTTTTAGATCCCACCTTAAAAGATCAAAAACCTGATTCTGCGTAAATTATAAAATTAAATTAATTAAGCTCGTAAACTTTTATCTCAATAATTTATACGATAGGTTTTTTATGTCCGAATCATAACGATAGAAAAAACAAAATAAAAAAAATCATACATGCAAAATATATTAAAATATAACTACAAAGGTTTGTTAAAAACCCAATTTTACACAAATTATAAGATTAAATTAATTAAACCCGTAAATCTTTATCTTAACAGTTTATGCATAGTTTTTTTTTTTTACGCTCAAACGTATATACAAGATATATTAAAGTACAAGTACAAAGATTTTTTAATTTGATGAGTTTGATTAGTAGAATCGATACACAACATAGACCGAAAGGAGCCGAAAGGAAAACTCACTTAAGTTAGGTTTGAGTTGGTGATTATCCACGGTTGTAAGGCAAAAGATATCAACAAATTGAACTGCAAATTTGACTAAAAAAGGAGTCTTTAAGGGCATTGAGCATAGCTATCAACATAGGCCGGTAAAAAGTGTGCTTGAGTAATTTGCTTAGGGCAATTTTTGGATTTGAATATTAATTAAACAATTAATGAAAGAAAAGATCATATGCTGGATGGGCTTAAACCAATGGAAAAAATGAGTCAAATCAAAAAATCTGCTCTGGTTTTGACTGTACCTGTCGTTTATGTCCTAAAAGGGCACCTGGCAAACAATGGCCAATGGTGCTCGTGGGAGAAATATTCTTTAGAAAATTGGAGGACCTAACTTTGATGCTAAACATGTTTTCTGCATTTCGTTTTCAACCCTTTTTTGTTGATTTTTTAGAGTTACTATTGGAGACCTAAAATTTTCAAGTCTAACATGTTTTTTTGGCATTTCATTTTCATGACTTTAGGTGTTGTTGAGGATCCATAATTATATCCAAATTTGGGTTTTAAATTTTCATCATGAGATAAGCATATATCGTATGATCATGTATGAATTCCCTTTTTTTTTTTTAATACTTACTTGGGGTTTTTTTTTTATTTTATATTCATTTTCATGACCTTAGGTGTTTCTCGATGGTCCAAATTTGTTTTCGAAATTTTATTACGAGATAAGCATGCATCATGATGTCGAAAAGCAATATACAACTTCATTTTTCTTCTCCCATAATTACTTTATATTCCTTCTCGGTATTCATTTTTTGTCTAAGTAAAATTTTTTCTTTTTCATTCTTCTAGATAAACATCCCCATTAAAAATAAATTTCGAAGATGGAATCATTGAAAACCAAACTTGCTCTCGTCAATCTCATACTTAATCACACTTTGGGCTGTTGGGCACTACCGACTAAATCCAAAGAATGTTCCCTTTCCCTTGGACAAATTATGTAATCAAATAAAGGTATCATACCAAAAGCCTAGAACTCCTAGAGATAAACTAATTAAATGCTCATCCTAATCTTTCATTAATGGTTAGGTGCTGGGTCCAAAGCATGTACTTTTCCTTCACCTTTGACTCCGAAATGTTAGTATTGCTTTTTCCCTTTGATCCCCACGAGTGTGCAAGGATTTGTTGCCCTTTGCTGCTCTTGGTCAATCAGTCAACCATGGCCTTTGAGTTTATCCTTCATTGTTATTTGATTTTTTTTTTCTCTCTTTTACACGCCTCCCACACCATTTGGGTAGGCAAATATTGCCATCATCATCCTTACCATAATCCACTTTTGTATTTTTATATGCATATACTATGCTTTTGTCTTGCTGTAATACCAAGCAAGGATTCAATGCTTCTCTTTTTCTCTGTTTTTTTGCTTGTTTTCCATTTATGTAATTCAAAGGGTGATATCAAGTCTTCCATTGACGTGTTACTACCAACAATCTCTTGCTCCTAATTGTTTATTCCCCGTTGTTATAGCCAAACTATACATGCATAATACAAGAAATATATCAGCAGAATTAATCCATCACCATAGATGATATGTGAACTAGTGGGCATACCATGTGCATCTCATGCATGCATCCTGGTTTCAGAAATGAGTAATACAGAGAAGAAAGAGATATGATCAATTTGAAAAGGAAAACTAGGCTTCTTTGCCACTCAGATTGGGTCATCAAGACCTACCCTTAAAGAGAAGTCTTTGATAGAACAGAAACTCATTTCGTTTTCATCACTTTTTGAGTTTTCATCAGCCTTTGGTAAACGGATGACCTTTGATCATAAAAATTTTGTAAGTGGGAAACCCAACTTGTAGTGGCAATTGATTGGCGTTGTTCCTGATGAACTGCCTCAACTTGGAAGTAACTCTCAGCTGACCCTTTTTTTCCCATCTGAAAACAACATTAGCACTAGAGCAAAAGCAGCTGAACTTAGCCAAAAAACAATGATTGACTGGTAAAATCAAAATGGGTACATATCATTTTCTTTCTATGCATTTGTACTTGAAAACAAAAGTCGAAACAGCACAGCAGTTGAAAACTCGAGATACTTTTATTGAAAATTTATTGGTCAATGTTTTTGAACTTAATACATACTGTTAATCATTAAGATTGAATTAAATCTTCTGCCTAATCTAAGATCAAAGACTTGAAGCATCGTAATGCACTAATACAAGTTTTTTTGTTGATTGCATCCGGATCGAATTTCTATCTTTCTAGCTAAAATCTCTTCAGTCCTTCACTCTTTCTGTTTTATATATAGATATTGGAAAAGTTTATAGTTTAAGATTCAAGTATTGCAATTTATATGAAGCTTGGGGTTCTTAGTTTAATCCTATGGAACAAAGCAAATGTTCTGTGAAGTTTTTGTGGCCTAATTAGAATTGTATTAGTGTTAGATGTTCTTTTATTGTATGAAAAGTGCTGATGCTATGATCAGACCAGACGGGAAGCTTCCTGGGTCTGTCAGCTTTTGTTTTCCAAGATCTGACAAGAGAGGCAGGTGTAAAGTCATGAGATGATTTCCACCATGACTTTCCGACGATTAAGACTGTTTGCAATAAAAAAATACTTCGGAATTTGGAATGAGATCATCTCATTTGCAAGAGAAACGAAATAAGAGAAAATAAAATTATTGTTAAATCGGTTTTGTAGTCCAATATATAGAGTGATAACGAAATATTCATATAATGTTTTAAGACATTCATGCTATTTAAGAAAATTTAAATAATTTTTTATTCATTAATTGTGTTTAATTAAATTTATATATTTTAATTTAAAATTAAATTAATTTTTAATTATTATTTATTAAAATGTTAATAATTATTTTATATCCATATAATGCTGATTTAGCATTGGCGAAATTGACGAGAAATGTTATGTGATCATGTAATTGTATCACTATTATAGGTCAAACTATGTAATTAATCTATATGCTTTATCAAAATGATGAATTTAAGCTCTATATAATAATTTATAAAAATTAAGTCTCTATATTTTTTAAAATTGATAATATCAATCAAATGTGTTAAAAATTTTTAATTATCTATATTGATATAACTTTTGATTGTGTTGATAATATTTTTTTATTGATGTGACATTGAATTTGAGAACATGATAATGATAATATGACATTTCATAAATAATATAATAATAGTATCGATATGATGTGACTAAGTACTAATATGAATTTTATAACAGTGGACATAGAATAATCTAATGTAAGTTAATTGTTTTAAACGGGACTAGAAAAAAGATAAATTAAAATTATGAATAGGTTTTTAGGATTTAGAGAAAAAATGTTGTGAGATAAAGAAGAATTGAATTTTATGCTTTATAATTTAAAGCACTTAAAAGTCTGTTATAAAATAAATAAAAAAATGTTATATCATCATTAACATATCATCATATTCAATGTCACATTTGTAAAAAAAATCATATTAATATAAATAATAATAAAATTTTAATATTATTAACAATTGAGCTAATACTGTCAATATTAGAAAATAAAAGTATTTAATATTTACAAATTGTTGTATGGAGACTAAATTTATAATTTTATTAGAATATAAAGACTAATTTCATAATTTAATTTTTATTATAATATATCAACATGACATTTTATTATCTTATAATATAAAATCATAAATGATATTTAGATTAATGATAATACTTAACAGTTAATTTAAAATAAAAATATAAAAATTTAATTAAATATAATAAAAAATAAAAAAAATTAGTACTATACTAATGGTTTTGGACTATTTGAACCTTGCTTGTTTCAACTATGAAACTTAGAGATCATGATACGGAAACGATAATTTACTGAAAAGTTATAAAATTAAATAAAAAATAATTTTCAAAAAAATTATCAAAATTAAAATAAAATTGAGATATGTAATTTCAATTTTTATTGGAGCTCGAGCTCGAATTGCTCTCCAAATCTTACTGAATAAGCTTGCTTCGTTGGTGTAGAATTTTATGCTTTAAAAAGAAAGAAAAATTTAAAAAAGAAAAATGCAGATTCCACACCGGCCCGGTTCACCGAAACATGCCGGTTCACTCCTGCATATAAAATCCTCAATTTCAAAGGCTTCGCCTTTTCCCCAGCTTCCTCCTCTGTTTCTAGGGTTTCCGTGGAAGTCTCCATTACACTCCTACTCTCCGAAGGTACCTCTCTCTTCCGGTTGATTCTTTTAATTTCCATTTTTCTTTACAATATTAAGCTAATTTTCATTGTTTTACAAATACTTTTCCTGAATAAGCTGTATAGAGGAACCCTAAAATTTGGGATATTTTTGTCGGTCTGAATTCTTTGATGTTAATAGAGGATGAATAATGAGATATTAGATGTTAAATAGCTGCTGAATTATTTCCTAAATTTTGGCAGATGGGGAAGAAAAAGGAAAAACCTTTGAATGAGCCCGTGTCGACACTTGATTTAAAATCTATGATTCATGAAAATGCTTTGTTCTTTGACAAATTGATTGAGTTAATCCCTGCAAGGTTTTATCTACCGGATGAAAAGGATAAACCTTGGTTTCAGGGTCTTAGCAAAGCCGAGAAGGCTTCTGCTAAAAAGCAATCTAGAGAAAACATTAAGAAAGCCCGCAGAGATAGGTTAGATCCCGAGAAGTCAACAAAAACGACCCTTGATCTGTTGAAGGAGAATTTGGAAAAGGAGAAAGTGAGTAAGGAGAGTGATGATGAGGAAATCGAGGTTAAACCTATAATGTCTGATTTAGGCGGTGGTGAGGAACGGTCTGTCACTTATAAAGAACTTCAGCAAAGGCTTCGTAGGAAAATAGAAGAGCTTCGTGGTGGTAGAAATACTGGGAGTTCAGATAGAGGGAAGAAGAAGACTGAGAAGAAGGGTAATGTTCAAAAGAAGCGAAAGAGGGATAGCGGAGCTGAAGAAAAGAAAGTTACTAGTAGTAATGATAAGGATAAAGTGGAGAAGGATGTGGAAGAGGCTGCAAAGGAGCTTACTTTTAGTCGGGTTAAACTTGGGGATGAGGAAAAACATGGTAAGAAGAAAAAAAGAAAACTTTCAAAGTTCAAGGAGCTTGAAAATGCAACGAAATTACAGGAAGCTAAGAAAGATCCAGAGAAAGGTGAGGTTATTGCTAAGAAGCATTCGTGGAAGGCAGCGATGGATAGAGCTGCAGGGATTAAGGTCCATGATGATCCGAAGTTGTTGAAACAGAGTATGCAGAAGGAGAAGAAGAGGCATCAGAAGCATGTTGAGAAGTGGAATGAGAGGGTTGAGACTACAGAGAAGTTGAAAGCAGAGAAACAACAGAAGAGGTCGGATAATATAGCAGAGAAGATTCACCAGAAGAAGATGCGACGAATTGCAAAGAGGGAGAAGAAGCTGTTGCGACCAGGGTTTGAAGGTCGGAAGGAGGGTTTTATTAATGAAGGGTCAACCTAGTGTTCTTTTCTTTTAAATGTTGCATAGCCTGTGGCTTTTGTATGGCTGTTCCTTTTTGGTAGAGTTGTCATTAAGATCATATCACTGCTCAAGGAAGATCACATGTTGGGAAGGCTGTTCCTACTCTTCTTTCCTTCTTTTTTCTACCAAGTAGAAAGTGATGAGTGTTGTTCAATAACTGAATTCGGATTAACATACTGCAAAAGGTTTGGTTCTGATTATTTATGCCCCCATCTGTGCCCCTTGAGCTTCAACTAACATATGTAATTTGAATTGCTGCTAACATAGGTAATAATTATTTAAACAACGAAAAGAATATTGCTAATTATTTGGGTGGTTAATTTAACCATATTGAGAGAAGAAACTGTTGCAAGATTGGCTCAATGTAGTTCATGTTCTTCATGGATAGTAGAAAAATATTTATTGCTGCTGGCATATTGTTGACTACCTTCCGCTTATGCCCTTGGCGTTTGAGGCATTTGTGCTTGTTAAGTGAAAGGCATCTCCTGTTTATTGTCAAAATGAAAAGCAAAGAGTGGTAACAGATGATCAAGCAACCATAGCCATTTGATTCTCTTAATTGGTTGTAAATTCCTTCTGTTGGATGCCTTTTAACTCCCAAGGGAATCATGAATTGTTGGCAATTATGGATATGCTCTCTTTGTTTGTCATGAATCGTTCCAAAGTAGACGATTTTGTTCCATTTTGGAATATTTTTTGTTCCAGTCTGAAAGAAGTTGAAGAGTAGAATTGGAAAGGAATATCTCATCATATAGCATGGAACATCATGCTTGGCGAATATATTGTCAAAACCCAATCCTGTTGCTATCATGCGTTGTTTAACCACCTGGCAGATGTTTTTGCTTAGAAACCCTAAAATAAACCCTTTTTTTTTGGAAAGAAGAACTTCTCTTTCAACTTATGGATGCAGAAAGGAGGAACTACTTTTCTTCTGAAACCCTGATTTCTGTAATAAAGGAAAAAATGCTCCCTAAGCAAATGTTCTTTGATGAGCTGCTTTTCTCATGTCCTAACATTGAGTCATGTTTAATGTACTAATTTGATTAAAGTTTGTTGAAATATAAATCCATTGAAATAATGAAACTCCAACCAACCATTTAGCAACCAAACCACACAAAATGTACCATCAGAAAAAACCCAGAGTCATGAAAATATTACAAACCAGATGCTGCAAATCCATGTTCAACTCCACTTACACAAGTACATGTAAAAGGGTAAGTCCGAATTGAACTGATAACTCCAAATCAACAAAACGGAATTGAAAATAGACGTTACATTTATCTAGCAACAAGTATGCTCCTTCAAACCCTAGTCCCTGCCACTGCATTGCCAGCCTTTGGCCCTGGCTCGTCCGCAGGTCCACGGATGCCATAGTCAGCGTCTCGGTATCCTGGTCCATACCTGCTGCTGATTACACCAGCATGGAGCAACATGACGTAAAGAAGTTGGGTGAATGTAAGGATTATTATGAATGCTTCGAGTATTCTCAGCCTCCATCCTCTCCGGCTTCCTATGTTTATATGCTTGCAAGCAAACCTGCGTTAGGAAAACAGTTTGCGAAATCATCAAGCTTTTCTTGTAAGATGTAAATGGAGTAATTGGTTATTTTTATGGAAGTGAAAAATGGTAAAAATCAAGTCACCCAAAGGCTACTGCAGTCAAGGCCCATGCTATAAGTGAAGATGATCCTGCTTCAGCCAGAGTATCAGTTCTCCAAGACCTGATATGGTGCCCTCCTGCAAACTTTGATACTATGCCTACTACAGCAGCCAACATTGAAAAGGTCAAGAAGAAACCAGTTGCTCCATTTCCCCCCATACCTGAAACATTTCCCTTCCGTCTTACAACAAAGCCTGGCAGCTATTTAGTAAAGATCAGGGTTAAGAAATGAAAAGGGTAGGGAACTTACTGGGATGAGCAGTCTGGGCATTGATATACCTATTGATACACCAGCTAGCAAAGCCCATCACAATGAAATACATGACCAGGTTCAGAAACAGCAAGGGAGCAGCTATGTTCCTTCCTACAGTAGCCATCCTTTTCTCTTCCCTCTCAAAAAGAAAGAAACCGAAGAAAACTCCTTCAGACAAAACACTCGAAAACCGAGCTTAAGTTGTTGATCGAAACAAATTTTCCTCTCTTTCAGCTTAAGCTTTTGATGAGGCCGAGAGAGCGTTGGCAGTGGAGACTAAATAGAGAAGTTAAGGTCATGTAAAGCAAGTGGCAATACGTGTAAAGCAGTGAGCCGATGCATGCGAGCTTCTGGATACAGGTGGAAGGACACTTGTCGAAAATGGTGTTTACGTTTCCAAGGACGCCTTCTCACTTAGAATCTCGAAGCTTTAGATGGCATGACGGGCTGCATATCCAGTGGCTTCAGAGAATATTAGTATTACCATATCCATATGCTTCTTAGCTTCAAACTTCTTGTCTACCTATATATAGTATACCATTGATTGTTTAGCGAAGGAAATGTTGAGTTTTGTAAGAACAGAAAGAGACTTCGGAAACCATTGGTGACATCATGTTAAAGTGTGATAGGCCAAACCATTTTTGAACGTTTTGTGGGAGGAATATGTCACAATCTTGGTCACTGTTAGCTCTATTCCAATAAACCATGAGAAAAGTTACTGCTCCTTGTTGAGATTGAGACAGAAAAGTGCCTCTCACCACAATTTTTAGTGAAATTATATGATATTTACAGCTGATTTCTGTTGTCCCAAATTTATTTCTTCTTCACATTTATAAAATTGAAAATTTCAAAAAATTTTAACAATATCGGACCTATCTTTTTCGATTTTTTCACAAACATATTAATTATAATATCGAGATTATTCATCATAATTTTTTATAATATTCACTATGCTTATGATTGTGATTGAATAATTATAAAAAAATATAATAAATGTAATATGTATTGTTTAATATTACAGTCATGATCATGACGTAGTGTTGTTTTGACAATTTAGAAATATGGGACCTATTTATATCTAAATTGATTCTAACCTACAAAAGATGTGAATGGAATTTTAGAGGTTTGAAGGAGATTTTGATTTTTTAATTTCTCAAAGTATTTTAAATGCTTAATTTATTAAAAAAATTGAAAATATAAATGAAGGAAAAATTCATTGATAAATTATTAGTTTGAAAATAAAGAAACAATTTCAAAAATCTTTTTCCCATGATCCCTCCTTCCCTCATTATTATTTAATTAATATATTTTATTTGAAAAAAAAAAGAATGAAAATAAAAGACGTAAAATTACCAAGTATGTTTGCATGGTCCCATCCTCACCTTAAAATTGATAAATAAATCAAATCAAAGTTTAGATCGAGCTAATTAAACTCAAGTTCATTCACAAATCAAGGATGAGAGACCTAATTAATCTAAGACAAACTTAGATTCTCTTTTTATATTTTGTATAAAGTCATGTTACTTGTCTCATCACTTCTTTCACTTTTTGATTTAATATTTATATTTTTTTTTTACATGATATGTAATTATTCAATTAATTTAAAAATAAAGTCTATCAAATTATGACCAAATCAATTAAATAATAGATGAAATTATCTTTACGATAAAAACAATAAATCATTATTATATTAGATGAGACAAAAGGTTTAGAAGAAATGAATACCTATATATAGATGGGGACAGTATAAATATTTTAACCAAGCAATAGTTGGCTTTAATAGCTTACTGGTACACGCCATTTATATAAAATTTTAAGTAAATATGATATACCTATAATATTGATTCAGAATACATTTTTATATAAATAATTAGACAAATAATTAGATTTTTTATTATTAAACAAATGATTAGATATTTTTTATTAATTTAGAATTCGTCACAAATCATGAAATCGAATGGTTAAATTAATAAAATATAAATGATATAAAAAGATATGAAAAAGTGTAAAATTAATTTAATTTTTCAAGTGTGTGATAAATTTTTCTTAATTTAATAAATAGAATTTCAAGAAAATAAATAAAATAAAATCATAGTTACATATCAAAATAAAAAGTAAAAAAAACTAAAATTATATAAAAAAATTAATGAGTTATTCACAATAAGGTTTTAATATTTATTCTTTTTCCCAAAAAAAAAATCACTAATATATTGAACAAACAAGTGCTCAACATTTAATATGCGTATTAATAGTAGAAAAACTAATTTTACATAGATATAGATTTAAATAAAACTATGTAATTTCAATTACATAGACTCCCATATATTTAGATATTCAACATTTAATATTCGCATTTATGATGAAAAACCAAAATTTGCATAAATGGGACCCATTTGTAATTTGATAATATTGCAAAAATGAAAAGTGACATAATATTCATTGATTATTAGTTCAAGAAGTAACGAAAACAATTAAAAAATAATTGATAATATTCCAATTAATAAATGACAAAAAGATTTATATTTGGTAAAAAATATGGCAAATTTGCTAATTTTTAATAAAAAATACTAAATGCATGTAATGCTTAAAATAATTTTGATATTGTAATTTTTACACTTATATATTTTTTCTTTTTTTAATTAAAATAAACTTATTTGAGTTTTAATTTTTTTTATCCCTTAAAACTTGTTCAACTTTCAAAACTTTTTTTCCATTACTATATAAAAAAAAGAAATTGATTTTTCTTTTTTTTAAGAAAATGAAATTGATTTACAATAATTTTCCAAGTGGACTCCACCTATTATATGTAGCTGAGATCATATTTGCTCTTCATGACAAGGCATGATGCTATTTGTCAACAACCGAAAACGATGTCCTCACCGTGCCACGTAATCACCTGAGCCTTTTTAACTTAGAATATAAAGAAAAATAAAATGACATAAAATCCAAAATTATTAATTTACAAAAATACAACCTTCAATTCTTAGAAAATTTAAAACTTTTTGTATCGAAATAAATTTAAAATACACAATTAATTTATATAAAAATTATGATGAAAACCATACATAAAGAATCATATATAATATATAATATATTATATATAAAAGTTTTGGGTTTTTTTATTAAAATATTGGATAAGAAATGAAATATTAAGTAATATTTTAAAATTAATATAAAATTTAATATTTCACTGAATCTTTTTATATTAATATAAAAATCAATTTTTCAAAAAATACAAGATATATTTCAAATTAATTTAATTTAAAAAATATGAATTGAATGATATGCATAGAGTACGATCTACTTTCTATATTAATTAAAAGAATACAATAAAATTTATAAAAATTATATCATAATGTATACGTATTATATGATGTATATTTTATATATAATTAAAACAATATATCGTAATCATTCGTATTTGTTATTTTGTTACTATCGTAACGTTTGGTGATTGATAAATATGTTTGCTAACAAAATCGCGTTTTCTTACCCAAAAAGTAGCTGAAAAGAAGTTGGTCTTTTTTGTCCCTCTCCCCCTCCCCTCCCCTCCTCCCCCATCTTCTCCAAAATATCCGCCATGGAAGTACCTTGAAAAACCCTAAATATTTTCTCACATTCCTCTTTAAAACCTAACGGACCACCAAATGGGTACTCTTGTACCCTTCCAAGACCTCAATCTTTCCCCAGAACCACCCCAAACCATCAGCGTCGATACCCCTCTCCGCCGTGACCAGCACCAGCACCATCACTTTCTTAACACCTAAAATTGAACCCAAGCAAGAACCTTTCGACGAACCAGCACCAACTCAGACCAACTACAGGCAACTAAACACCCTCTTTTCTCTCTTCCAGTTCTGCCCTGACTTCCCTTCTAATCCGAATCTACCCTCTGTCTAACATTTCCTCTTCCACCGATGACCAAAACGCCCTTTACTCCGAATACTTCCGAATCTCCGAACTATTCCGCTCCGCCTTCGCCAAAAGATTACAAAAATACGGTGACATCGACGTCCTCGACCCAGATTCTCGGGCCATCGTACCCTTGCCCGAAGAACAACCCGAACCGAGCTCCGAAACTCCGCAATTAACACCTCCAACCCTGACGAGCTCTGTCCGTCGTCGGTTCACGTCGCAGGGCCGGAAGATCCAACGAGCTGGTTCGGGTAACTAATTTGGGAATCGAAGACGAGAGGCATTTCCGGGACGTTGTGCGAAGAACCCGAATGATGTACGATTCCCTCCGCATTTTGGCCATTTTGGAGGAAGAAAAGAGGAAGGGACCGGGGCACGGGAGACGGGCACGTGGCGATTTGAGAGCAGCCGCGTTGATGAGGGAGCGAGGGCTGTGGTTAAACCGTGATAAAAGAATAGTGGGTTCAATCCCAGGTATTGAAATTGGTGACTTGTTCTTTTTCAGAATGGAGCTTTGTGTGATGGGTTTACATGGACAAGCTCAAGCCGGCATTGATTACTTGCCTGCGAGCCAGAGCTCGAATGGGGAGCCGATTGCCACCAGCATTATTGTTTCAGGTGGATACGAGGATGATCAAGATGCTGGGGACTTGATCATTTACACTGGTCATGGTGGACAGGATAAGCTTTCACGGCAATGTATGCATCAGAAGCTTGAAGGAGGGAATTTGGCACTAGAAAGGAGTATGCATTATGGAATTGAGGTAAGGGTGATTAGAGGGATTAAATATGAGAATAGTGTTTCAAGTAAAGTTTATGTTTATGATGGTTTATATAAGATTCTTGATTGTTGGTTCGATGTGGGGAAGTCAGGTTTCGGGGTTTATAAGTATAGGTTGTTGAGAATTGATGGGCAACCCGAGATGGGTAGTTCGATTATGAGGTTTGCTGAGAGTCTTAGGACTAGGCCTTTGTCCGCTAGGCCGATGGGGTATTTGAGTCTTGATATTTCGATGAAAAAAGAGAAAGTTCCAGTTTTTCTTTATAATGATATTGATAGTGATCATGATCCTATGTATTATGATTATCTTGTGAAGAGTGTGTTTCCTCCTTATGCATTTGGTCCGGGGAGTAATCGTACTGGATGTGAGTGTGTTTCGGGGTGTACAGAGGGGTGCTTTTGCGCTATGAAGAACGGTGGTGATTTTGCTTATGATCATAATGGTCTTCTCTTGAGAGGGAAACCAGTGATATTTGAATGTGGGAATTTCTGTCAATGCCCTCCAACTTGTCGGAACCGTGTTTCACAGCATGGGTTGAGAAATAGGTTGGAAATATTTAGGTCAAGGGAAACCGGTTGGGGAGTCAGGTCCTTGGACTTGATACAAGCTGGTGCTTTTATATGTGAATATGCAGGGGTGGTTCTCACAAGGGAGCAAGCGCAAGTTTTCACTATGAATGGCGATACATTGATTTATCCCAATCGGTTCTCTGAACGATGGGCAGAATGGGGGGATTTATCTCAGATATTTGCAGAATATGTGCGTCCATCATATCCCTCAATTCCACCTTTAGGTTTTGCAATGGATGTATCAAGGATGAGGAATGTTGCTTGTTATATGAGCCATAGTTCCAGTCCCAATGTGCTGGTGCAGTGTGTGTTGTATGATCATAATAACTTAATGTTCCCCCACCTTATGCTTTTTGCAATGGAGAATATCCCTCCTATGAGGGAGCTTAGCATTGACTATGGTGTGGCTGATGAATGGACTGGGAAGCTCTCTATTTGTAACTAAATAATTTAGAGGAGGTCTTCGGATTTTGAAGTGGTGCAGCAGGGCAGTGAGACATGTTAGACTGAGGTGAGCCTAACTTCCAACTGCTGCAAGCATGTCCAGTCATAAATCTATTTTAAAATCATATTAGTTTGTGCTGTAGCTGTCTTATATTTAAATTGCTTTTGATTTATGTCTTTCTCATGCTTTTTTGTAGTTCTAGTTGTCTGCCTTTTCATCTGTTTGTAGGTGATAGGAATATTATTCCTTGTGCAACTTCATGCTGTACATGTCAAGTAGTCAACCATATACCGGAGGATGGAACTTTTAGCATTTCCACAGTGCTCGATGAATCTTATTTCTGATGCAGTTGCTTATCTTCTAAGTATATGTTTGTTTTCTTCAGTGCAGTGTACTTCTTTTATGTAATATATGTGGTGTTGTAGTCTACTAATCTGAAATACTTAGATGGGTGTTTTTAATTGTTTCCTACATATCTTTTGTTTTGCCTGTTCAAATTTACAATTTATGTCTGGCTGACTTCTATCAAATGATTCTTTTTAATCGTTCCCGCTCATAAATTTTAAGAACCAAGGAAGACATAAAGTTGTTATTTGGTTATTTCATGATTGGATAGTTCCTTGATCTAGCCAAACCAATTTAAGTTTGATTGATCCTTCTGTTCTTGTACTCCTTTTTGGTTCTGTCATTGGATTCTTTTCCTCTGAAGGAGGGGGGGAGGATATAAGTGGTGTTTGGTAGGTCCTTCATTTTTACAATTAAGAGTTTATGAGAAACTGCTTAGTCATCTAGAAGGGAGGAACTGTGTTTTAGCAGAAGGCGGGTGACAATATATGTTGAGAAGTTAAAACCTTACTCCAGCCTGTTTTCGTAAGCCTTAAATAATAATAAGTGTTTAAAACACCTGTACTGCATATGAAATGCAGGGTCTTATGCAATCACCTTCTCCACCTTGATAAGACCAATGGCAAGATGCTATTATGAGTTTGTTTTGAATCCTTGTCCTCATATTTAAGGATTCTCAGCAAAGTGATTCATAGATTAGGACAAATCTTCATTACATTCCATGTGAATAAAAAGCCATAGGCTTGTTTCTAGTTTTTATCATAAAATATAAATTTAACACTTTTGACTTGTTTCAACTTTTAATAATTGTGATGAATTATGAACAACAATTTCCATGATAATAATATGCTTCAAAGTGATTGATAGGTGCTTTTACTGTGTCTCTGGCTGTTTTAATGTCTTAAAAAGTCATTAAAGCTAATTCAGCCTAAGTATTCTCTAAATCTTGTGGAAGTGGACTGTCGGAGATTGATAATATTCTGTTGGATCTGGTGCAGCGGGATCATACTGAAATGCTAGGAGCTTTAGAGCTGGCTCTGTTGAATAATGGAAGGCTAGGATATTTTTTTAAGTGAATGGAATATTTAGTTGTGGTTGTGAAATAGCCTGGCAAGAGACTGTAGAAGGAGGCTGGGATAGGGTGAGTAGATATGGATGCAATTAGTGATTGTGAGATTTGAGCATTCTCAGCCTGTATGCTGCTTCTTTAAATGTTGCTGTGTTGTCTCCTTATTAGTCATTTGTGCTGTGCATATAACAGAAATAAGGACCATGTCAAAATGGTTAAAGGTTTCCGGCATGGTAATATGCTTAATCGGATCGCTTATAAGACATTATTAAAGTTACATAAGCTTATTGGTTCCCTATAGGGTCTTGCCAATTAAATTCATAGGTGTCATGCTTCTTTCCACGTAAAGGGCAGAGTCATAAAACCATGAAGTCTGGTTAATTCATCATTCAATGGCTTACTATTATTTTTATCATTTGGAGGAAGGGAAGGGAAGTCAAGGGGGTTGTTTTGATTACACTGCATGTGCTCTACTTCTGTGTTATGCTCCTTCGACTTGTTGGAAGATAATGTCTTTATTGGAAGTTGGTTTTTTTTTCCTGTTTGTTGGAATTTTTAAAATATAGATAATGCATGGAAAGTTCGAAGTGCTATAACTTGTTTTTGATAACTTTTTTATTAAATATACTGATATATATCTCCATATATTGGACATGCTGATGCTTGGTCATTGAGCCTCTTGGTTCTTGTCAATTAATGTCCAGGCATATTCTATACTGTCCGTGTATAAACTTCTTGACTATTTGAAAATGGGTGTTGTACGTCTTGGATAATTTTGACATGTTTGGTGCGTGGGAAGGTGATTGTATGCGTCTTGGACAGATTCCACATGTTCTGTTACTTTGGAAGGTGAGCAATCATAAAATGTATGATGGGTCTGGAACAATGTAATGGGGCATATTTACATAGTTTGGTACTGTTATTCATGTCAGTAACACTATCAAAAGAGTTTGTTGGATATTTTACTGCCATTATAAAACACTGCTAAATTTGCTGTAGCCTTGTTATTGTATTAAGTAATTGTTTATCTGCAGTTGCTCACTTCGATGATTTTCTGCAGGTGAGGATTGGACAATGCATCTAAAACAGTTCTTATCTGGTTCCTTGAATTTTTTGGCCCCCATCCTTTTCTTTGAATGTTGCTGCAAATGTGACACTATCAGATAAGACTTGGCCAATCTGCTGCCTCAGATTTGCGCTTTCCTTGCCTTGACAATACTATTAGTTCCCTGGTGGTTAGAAAAAGTGGGAAATTGATGAACAGAATTTTTGGGAGAGTGTGGTTGCTGCTTCAGCGTTCTGCTGACAAAGTTTATGATCCTTTCGATGGACCTCTGCGATGATGCCTTTGTACATGCTTTTTCTGCCGGGAATACTCATCTTATGCTTTTGTAAGCTTGTACTCATGACTCTAAAACCCTCAAAAGACTTTTTCATTTTAAAAATTTTCCCTGTACCCTTTGTATATATGAGGTCCAAAATGGACAGGCTTGTACAGGAATTGTATCAGTGTTTTTGTAGTTCAATGAAGCAAAGCCCACGTATCTCCAGTGTTTCTTCTTTTTACCCTTCCTATATTGGTTGAATCGAGAGAGAACTTTCCACTTCTATGTATACTGGGGCAAGAGGAATCCTGAAGAGGTTGTGCCAGTGAAAATAGAGCTAGTGAGCTAACTTGCTGATGTATCTGTTCCTTTTATTTCATTGCAGTTAAAAAGTGTAGTGGGTCTGTTTTTCTTTTGCCCTTGAAGGTAATAAGGCTTAATTTTTTTATTGCAAGGGCTTGTTATAACTGGTGCGATAAACCCATTTTGCTGACTAATGAGTTCTTAATAGATTCATAACAGGTTGATGAATAGATTTAGAATACAGAGGAAATTCTCAAGAAATTCCGTTGTTCATTAAACAAGTTTGATAACATTCTGGTGATTTAAGGAACCTAGAGGAAATAAATAAATAAATAAATATGGAACAAGCATTATCAAAGAGGATGACAGGGTACATTATGGTTTGGATACTGTAATTTCTGTGGTATCATGCCATCATGTATCAATTGGCAAATAAAACAAGAAGGATGAGACTTGGTTCGCATTATCATCACATCATGAAGTATCTATCACAATCATGGGTAGTTCAATGGTGTTCCATAGAACAGTTGGATATATCTACATGTATAGGAGTAGTTTTCTTTATAACTATATCAATTGCCTATAATTTACGAATCCAACCTCAAATTTTACGCATAAATGGGGATTAAGCTTGAGAGGTGACTGTTCCATTTTTCTCCATCTCCCTCTGTCTAGCTCGCTCCATTTTCCTTTTTCGCCATTCTTCTAGAGCTGTGAAATTTATAAATGTAAGTCAAACCACATTTACAGTTGAGCATATAACTGATAAAGAACACTGCAACAAAGTAACTAGCAGAAAAATTTTGCAGTTAACATGTGTCATTAGTATCAAACTATCAAACCGACAGAGGAAGCTTTCCCTGAATCCTCCACATGGTATCCCAGAGTTGACATATCAAAGAAATGAAAATGCATCCAGGCTGATGATGCCAGACCATCAGCCGGCAGTTTGATACTAAATTCATGGAGGAATCATGTTTTGCAAGTGAGAAACAGCTGGTCACCTTTCAAGCTGGCAGCGTCATTTAGAGAACGGAAGTCCTTCAATCTTTTAGAAAGATCAACTGCAGCAGTTTGTTTTGCATCATTTGGTTGCACTGTTTCTGGTTCTGCATATGCCTCTTGCTGAATCTCCTTCACCTAAAACAATTGAAAATATTCAACCATGAACAAAACCATTTTCAAAATATGGACATGTTTAACAAACATTCAACAACTGATGTTTGTTTCTTACAGACATTAGAATGCATGATATCCATTTTAATGCAACTATGTTATTGAAGTATTACACCCTGATAAATCGAATAAGAAAAAGGGGGAGTTGAAAAATGAAAAGCTAGATACTAGCAAATTTTTATACATCACATTGCTTTATGTTTTATCAAGTTTAACCATACCTTGTCATGAACAGATCAAAGTTTTAGAGTCTATGGTATGCTTACCCTTTTTATCAGTTCCAAAGGTTGCAAAGCAAGGCGTATCTCTTCAGATTCCTTAATGTAATTGAACTCAACTGCATTGAAAACATTAAAGAAAATGCTCTCCTTAGAGAAAAAAATAATAATAACAGAAAAATGAGGAAAACAAATGCCCATTTTTCTTTCTTCTGTAGATTGTCTCGTTTAGAGTGAATATCTCCCTTTGCATCCCCCAATAACTCTTACTTCTGCAAGAGAACTCCATTGAAGGGGGAGAGATGGAAGATGGCCCTTCCAGCTTTCTGACTTGGATTCTCTCAAGAAGAACCCCAAAACGGATTTTCCTATGGATGGTCAAATTACAAGAGAAAGAATCTATCCTGATAAACAAAGCCAAGGCAGTGGCATAAATAAGCTGAGGACGAATCTGGTGTATAATACACAGATCTCTAAAGCCAAGTTATGCATTAAAAGTATTGAATTTAACATGATACAACAGGTTTGCATTTTTATGAGAGAATCAAACCTGAATGAAGGGTATTGGTTCAAAACAGTGACCCTAGTTGTTTTGGTTAAAGTGATATGTATCCAGCTTAAAAGGACCATCCAAAAGAGGAAGCAAATAGTTGCAAGGAAGCACTTAACCATTACCAAGGTGTAAACACTAAAGAAGAATTTGGATTCAATGCCAAATTAAAACCCAAAAAACTTTGAACAAAAGGTCCCCAAAAAATGGATTGCAACCAAGTACCTGGAGCTCCCAATTTTAACATCAAGCAACTTCTATTTAGGAGCAGGAAAGCATTGGTCTATGCATTACTAAACCAAATTCAGCTTCCAAAACCCCTAAAACAATCCCAATTCACAGACAAAAATCCTCTACTTTACTTCCATATCAAAATGCTAAATCCCAAAAAAGAACAAAAGATCAACTATTTTTAGAACAATAAGAACCAAATACAATCCAAATCAGACAAATACCCATGATCCCAAATCCCCCTTGAAACACAAAACCAATAAAAAAGAACTACAGCTTTAACACAAGAAACAAAATCAACAACTACCCATGTTAAGAAAAGAACATCTCATTCCAAATATCCAAGCCATTGAACCAATGATTCAAATGAAAGAAAGAAAAAAAGAGGAACCTGAATTGGGTTGGTTAGAGGAGAGTTTGGTACGAGATGATGCAGAAGAAAGAAACCATTGAAGCAAGAAGAGAGCAGCTAACACGTTAAATATATTCAACGCTATGGTTGCACTCTTGAAAGATAATCTCAGTCTCCACGATTGCTGTATCTCCATTTTCTTTTCCCCTTGTTTCTCTTTTTCTTGCAGTCCTGTTCTTCGTTCCTACTATCTTCAGCTTCAAACTTTATTCGCTTGAGTTTATTGGTTAGGCACCTGAAGGCACCTTTGTTGGTGAGTACCACGCGCTGGCTACATGTTAAGAGACCCATTGGGGCGTGGTAGGCACTGCCAGTACATGACGTGCACCTCCTTTTTAATCTGGAGTGCGGAGTTTTAACTTTGTCTGAAGTCCAAAGAATGAGTCAAACTGAAACAGTTGTTGGGGTTTATGTCTGGGTCAGACGTAGGTAATGCCCGAAATTATTGCAGAGATTAATTGAGAAATTATTTCCTATATATATTAGTATATATTTAATTATTCTTTCCAGGAAATGGGTGTCGTATATATTTTATTGAAAATTATCCTGTGATAAATTTCTTTTGGATGATACATTTGATTAGTCAACTGATATTCCAATTTATTTTTAGATATTATATCTTAGTTTGTTAGATTTAGCATTGATTTAAAGAGAAATATTTTAATAACAATTTTATATTGATAATTTACTATTTTTTTCTTTAAAAATAGAGAGGAGAGTACATTATCAATTTAATTCTGTAATTAATTGGATAAAAATTTATAAAAAAACCATTAATTAGAAAATTTTATTTATTGAACTATTAATTTCATTTATAGTTTCAAGATTAACAATAAATTAAAATCTCATAAGGTGTTGGTATATTTTTAAAGCGAAAAATTGTCAGAGAATGTGATACAGTGATTATTACATTCCCTGAGGAAGTGACGACGCTTGTCTTTTGATCTGTTTTCCCTTGATTTTTGTTAGGACTAGACCAGAAACTTTATTTTTGTATAGGTGTTGTTCTTTTTTGGTTTGAGCAGCTTGGTTTATTTTTCAACTGTATATTTTCAAGAGGAGGAGGAGGAAAAGTCTTGATTCATCAACCCCTGTTGATCAAGTTCCTGCTGATATGCTGTGGTCTATCTTCAATAGGCTCGATGTCATTGATATTATTCGAGCGAAACTTGTTTGTTCCTCTTGGAACTCTCTTGGAGAAGACCTTGTCCCAAGGACGCCCTGGCTTATGCTTCCTTCAAAAGAAGAAGTAGAAGGAAGATATGATGCTGATAACAATGCCTACAGTGGCTTCTTGAAACTTGGGGAGAGTCAGGTTTGTAGCCCGAAAAAGATACCAAAGGAATTCAGGCAAGTGAAAATCCGACTTCCTTCATTATATGCTACGCTCGGTTTACAAAGAGTGGAAAGAAAGGCGGATGGTGTATCTGACATCGCATATTTTGATGATTCTGAGGATTATTTTAGGCTAATAACTTGTCAACATAAAAAGCAACACCTACGAGAATATTTCATACAGAAAGCAATCTTGACAGGAGAACCCAATTGCAACAATAAAAAGTGTGGTGTGATCCTGTTGTGCAATCATGAAAAGATTGGATATCATGAAAGTGAAGACAGATGCTGGACTGAAGGACCTGACGCTAGGCATCCGCCCTACCAAGATATCATACGCCATGAAAATCATCTCTTAGCATTGGGAAATGGGAATAATATTGAAATATGGAATTTTCAAGGCGGTTTTATGAGGAAAATTAGATATATTGTTCCTCCTTTCCCAGGGAAGTCACTCACCAAAAGAAACTCCTTGGGAGATCTTTGTACTAGCAGGTTATACTTGGTCGAATCATGTGGGGATATCCTGTTAGTTGTGAGGTTTATTGGCGAGTTTGTGGAATCGGATGGGACACTGATTAGTGAAGAAGATGCTTTATATGGTATCGGCATACAGCCTAAGGTTTGTCCCTAGAGAACAATTTTATTCCATGTTTATAAGTTGGATTTCATTGAGCTAAAATGGGTGGAGGGGAACTCTTTGGACGATCGTGCTTTATTTTTGGGTGGAAATCAATCTGTTTCAGGCTCAGTTCAATCTTTTTCTAACTGTGAAAAGAACTCACTTTATTACACTGATGATTATTGGGATAGAATGACGGAAGATTACTTATATGGAGGTCATGGTATGGGCATGTACAACCTGAATGATGGAAGTGTCAAGCCAATTTATGAATTCTCTTTAGATAATGTTCCGCCACCACCCTGTTGGATCATCCCAAACCCCAAGCCATGGTAGGGAAGCCTTACAGTTTGCTGCAACTGCCTTTCTTCTCGACAACAACTTTCTTAGATTATGATGGATGTTTTGTGTTACGAAAGGCTTTTGATGATGTATGTGAAAGATAAAGCTCTTGTAGTGAATAACAGCTTCATTAAGAACGAATGTAGACTCCTGAGCTTCTATTTTGCTTATTTTGTTTTCTCCTACTTTTAACTAAGCCTAAGGTAATTAAGGAAAGAAGCTTCATAAGGCAGTCCAATTAGTTTGTTTTCTTTAATTGGTTTTGCAAAATCTTCAAATAATGATGTGGGAGTTAGACAAAAATAGTGTAACAAAATTGCACTTCAAATTGGATTGCTTTAGAGAAATATTTAGAATTTCTACTTAAATCTTATATGCTTACCACAAAGACTAAGCTTAGATGGGAAAAAAAATTGAGAATTTAAGTCAAATTGTGAATGTTTTAGAGGAGTTCTGGCTATAATATCAGCAATATTCCATTATAAATGTACTGCATTCTTCATCTGAAAATTTGAATAGTCTTTACAGTGCATAGTCCATATAATATTAGAGAGATCAAAAGATTTTCTCCTCTAGAAGAACAGTAGGGTTATCATTACCAATCAAATAATGCATTGACTAGAAGAAAGTCGGCTGATAGCCATTCAAGTTAGTGGTGGAAATGTTGCCCACATAGTGGACTAATCAGAAGAAGCCAAGAAGACCTATGTGATGGAGATTCAAGTCAATGGTGGAGCCAGGAATCTGGGTCATTCTTAATTTATCATCTGTCAATGAGTTTGCTTCTGCTTTGGTTTTTATTATTGTTTCCAATCCTAGGAAGTTTTCTTCACATATTTACCGAAGCTTGAAAACATGTGAAGCACAAAAAAAGAAGCCGCTGGAGGTTTTAATTGACTGCTGCATCATATATCAGACAACATTAAACAAATCAAAGAACTTGCGATCAAAGCACAGTACAGAACTTTAAAGTAGTTTTTCTAGTTTAATCATGTCCAGTGGATCCAACAAAGGTGGCTTTTGGGCTGAAAGCTGGTGAGAAACTTGTTGCATGGTTGGCCGAAACTGTGGACTGGTATGCAGGCAGGAAAATGCTAACTTTGCAGTGAAGACTACTTCCTCTGCTACCTGGTCTATTGGAGGTGGAAGCCGATGATCCAATAAGTCCTTGAGTGAAATTCGGTGGGTGGTGATTGATGTTGGCAGTGAGAGAGACAATAACAGATCTTCTGGATGCTTTCCCATTATGATTTCCAATGTCAACACCCCATAGCTATAAACATCACATTTTTCATTTGCTTCCATTCCATAAGCTAGCTCTGCAATGTAAAGATTTCTTTTCGTTTTAGAACATTCAAAGGAATTGCTAATTTGTGAAAGAATTGAAGAGGTCTTATCCTGAGAGCGTGAATTGACTGATAAACCAAGGCTCAATCATGCTTTATTATCTTTAGTATTTTAACAATAATTTAAAAACTAGGATGGTAGAAAATGTACCTGGAGCAAAGTATCCAACAGTGCCTGCAAATGAAGTCAACTTGGATGAATCAGGATTTAAAATCCTAGCAGTACCAAAGTCTGAAACGCGAGCTTCATACTCTGAATCCAACAAAATGTTGTTGCTCGATATGTCTCTATGAATTACAGGAGGAAAACATTCATGATGCATATAAGTTAAAGCGTTTGCCACAGCTTTTACAACTTGTATCCTCTTATTCCAGTCTAACTCCCTTGCTTTTACCTCACGTTTAAGTATCTTTGCCAAGCTTCCCCCTTCAAGATACTCATAAACCAAAAATGAGTATTTAGCATGAGAACAGAAACCATAAAGCTTGACAATGTTTCGGTGCTTTACTTCTGTCAATGCATTGACCTCGTTGCTGAAAGATTTGAGATTGGCCACTTCATCATCATCCAATTCATGAAGCTTCTTCACAGCAACAACTTGTCCTGTTGGAAGCTTGGCTCTGTAAACACTTCCAGACCCACCTTTTCCAATGCAGTATTTGGAGTTGAAGTCCTCTGTTGCTTGAATGATGCATTCGTGCATCAATTTCCCATCAAAACCCCATATGGTGAAACAATTTTCCTTTTCCTGTTCTCTTGTTTCAATCATATTCTTTGCACTGCGTGACCGAGTAAAGAGTGTTGCAGCAATGATGAACAAAAGGATTAAAGTAGCCAAAAGGGGGGCTACAATTGACATCAAAACTTTTTTGCTGAGTTTCCCCTTGGATTTTTTTACCATGGTGCGGCAGGTCTCCATAGCGGTTGTGTTGCCACACAAGCCTTTGTTATGTTCAAGTGCTTCTGCTGGTGCTCTTCTGAAGGCTATATTGCTAGGGAGAGGACCTGCCAACATATTGTAGGATACATCAACAGTTGTCAAGCTTAACATCTCGTCAAAGGTGGTGGGAATATAGCCGGAGAGCTGATTGTGGGAAAGATTGAAGTTTTCCAGGCTCTTTAGCAATCCAAGTTCTGATGGTATTTCTCCTGTCAGCAAATTGAGGCTAAGATCAAGATTCTGGAGAGAGCCTAGACGACCAATTTGGAAGGGTATCTTTCCAGTGAACCAGTTATTGCTCAAATTCAAGTACAGTAGTTTTGAAAATTGTCCTAATTGTCCAGGAATTGAACCACTTAATCTGTTTGCTGCAAGGTTAAGTTTTGCTAAATCAGACAGAAACCCAAGCTCTGTAGGAACACTGCCTAAAAGTTTATTATCATTCAGTTCGAGACTGAACAACAATGCCAAGCCACCTAGCTCCTTTGGGATCCTACCTGCTAGTTGATTTGCGGATAGGTCAAGAATCTGTAGGTTGGTCGCTTTGGCAAGCTCAGCAGGTATTGGGCCAACTATCTTATTGTTGGAAATCTTGAAGCTAGTCAGGTTATGACTCAGGCCCCAGTTTCGCAAAAGCTTGCCAACGAATTTATTGTAACTCAAATCAATATAGTTCAAGTTTGGGTATACGCCAAAAACCTCTGATATGTTTCCTATGAGTTGATTCTCTTCAAAACGAACTCTAACAAGGCTGCTGCAGTTTTTCAAGTCTTTCGGGATAGGACCTACAAAATGGTTTGTGTGCACGGATAGTCTTTCGAGTAAGCCACCAGAGCATATACGATCTGGTAGGTAGCCAGACAACCTGTTAGTTCCCATTAACAATATCTTCATTGCTGTAAGGTTGCTAATTTCTGCAGGAAGTTGACCACTGAGGTTGTTCATGGGCAGTTTTAGATCAGTAAGGGATGTCATCCTTCCTACCTCTTTAGGGATGTGACCAGTCAAGTGATTAAGTGACAGGTGCAATCCAGTGAGCTTCGTCAAGTTCCCAATCGTGGGGGGAATTGATCCGGAAAGTTGATTGTTATTAAGGTAAAGTATGTTCAAGTTGGCTAAGTTTCCTACGGACTCTGGGATAAAACCATTAAGATTGTTTGCTGAGAAATCAAGGTAGGATAGTTCTGAGAGATTACTGATATGGGTAGGAATGGTTCCATAAAGTGAGTTGTTACTAAGGTCCAGGCTAAGAAGGTTAGGGAAGGATATGAAATTAAAATTCTGGAGCGTACCTTTTAATTGGCTGTTCGTAAGGTTTATATGGATGATGCTACCAAATTTATCACAAGTGATTCCGAACCACCTGTCACAAGGAGAAGTATCATTGCTCGGAGAAAAGTCCCATGAAGAAAGTAGATCAGAAGATGATTTGTCAAGGCTGTCTTTCCATTTGAGAAGAGCCTCTAGTTCTTGTCCATTTTCACTATTGGCCAAAGAAGCAAAAACAGCTACACTTGAAGAGGAAAGTAGGGCAATGACAAATAACAAAACTTTGAGTTTAACAATCTGGATGAACGATGCCATGACTTTGGCAGCAGAGATTGATCAGAAGCAATGAGAAAAACTGAATAGCCCTCTTTCTCATCACTATCTTTTGTATCTATGTTTTGACTTACTACATGACAATTAGCCTGATTTTTCTAAAATGCTGATGCCCCTTGGAAGGGAAGAGGAAAGAAATGGTTTGAAAATGAGATCTGGTTGGACTGCATATCTTTTCTATGTGCAATGGGTCTTTCTCTTGACAAGAAGACTTTCCTAAAGGACTAGGTATGAAATTAGAAAAAGATTGGTTTGGTGAACTATTAAAAAGGCTTAGTGGTGTCTAATCAGACTCGTAGGCATAGAAGGCAAGACTTGCTTCAGCTTTCCCACAAGCTAATTAGCTATTTGTTGTCAATGCATCCAGCAATGCAGCCAAACATTTTCCGTTTCTTTGTTTTCGACTTTTTTGTCCCATGGAAAAGGAGACTAGAAACCCAGTTCCACACTATATTTGAGCATTTCACTGCTTGTTAGCCGAGATTGGTAGACAATCATGACTGGGTCATGAAGCCAGTGTTGAGTTCAGAATAGCATTATCTCCGATGAGCATATTTGTTCTATTGATCCAATGTCTGGTTTAAACAAATCTCAGATCTCCAATAAGTTTTTCTTTTTTTTTTGAAAGTTAGAGTTCATTCATAAAAAAAAAAGTTCATATACAAACAAATGAAGGTCAAAGACTGGTAAGAGCACTGTTTTGACTCGCTGATGACAAACTGGTAGACGGAAAATATCAGAAAAAGAAACCTTACCTTTTAAACCATTCATCTTAGCATTTACAAATAGCCCTTTAGCCAACACATCAATATAAAACCAAAGAAGAAGTCAGTAAGACAAGGAAACATAACCAGGGTGCCTGTTTCCTTCTCTTGCTGCACTAAGCAAAGAACAACAAAATTCAAAACTCCCAGATTTACAAAGACCCAAACCGCTTGTTCTCCACTCATATCAAGGTGGTCCCTAGGCACCAAATACCACCATCGGCAAGGCTGAAACTAGTACCACATTAAACCCTGTACACACAAATCACGAATCTTGAAGAATAAAGGAGTCATCAAACCCCGTGAGAAAGTCGAGCAAAGCAGACAAAAGCATAACATGACAATTAAGGTAGAACTTGCAACAGGTCTGTGGCCCTTTCCACCCCCAGTTTGGCAAGGCTGTCTGCCAATAAGTTACAGTAATATTTGTAATAACCTGATTAACAAACCTTTCTCATTAAGAAAGAAAAGATCCCTTCTTGGTCATGGTCAATTTCGAGACAATATGGAGGGAATCTTCCTCCTTGTTCCATGGGTAGTGTTCACTTTGCTAACATATACATGATTTAAGTAGAATGCATGTTGGGGTTTACAGATCAGTAAGTAGGCTCTCTCCGATGGGAGAATAAATCAAATTATTCATTAGGTGCACCTGCATATGATATCCCCTGGTGAGTTCCAAGTTGATTCCAGTATTATTGCCAAACTTAGTGTAAGACACAAGGCATAACCTCAAACAAAGAACAAGTAATTATTCAAAACGACAAAACCTTCGCATCTATACTAGATGTCACCAGTATTTTCATAACCCAGAGCAAAACTTACAAGAAAGTTTTACATGTCAATCATAAACAACAAGTTTCTTGTATTCTTCACCAGCTATGGCTAATCCCATGACCTGCTCAGGGTTCACAATCCCACCTTCCTCCAAGAACAGAGTCAGTAGATTCTTGGAAAACCCACTCACCAGTGCTACTCCATTCTGCATAGCAACCACTGGAGTTGAAGATGAGTTTCGCAAGTTCCAAAAAACAATCTCCGGCACCCTGCTGTACCCAGACTCACGATACTTCCTCTGTATAACTTCATAATCCGTCTCCCACTCCTTCTGCAGTAAGGCCTGTCGATTATTCTTCCACTCCTCCAAACGCGCCTGCATTTTCTTCTGATACTCCTCCCAATTGTTCTTATCATTCTCTGCATCTTCATCACTGTTAATACCACTATCCATTTGCTCCCAATATTTGCTACCATTCCCAGTGGCTGCATCAAATTCCATATCACTGAAAACAAATATCCTCTTTACTAGTTGATCTTCACTGAGCTTTCCTTCCACTGCAACTGATAATATCTGATCAAAGACTTTCTGAAAATCTGTGTTAGCACCCCAGTCCATATCCCTCACAAACTGAGTCTTGTCTTTGAGAGTATCTCCCTGAATCAAGTGAAGCTCTGGATTTGCACTAAAAGTAATCACTTTTCCCTTCCAAGGCTCCTCACTGAGCTCAGAAACCAGCAGACCAAGAGCCACAGAAACCTCCATTGGTATCCCTTCCATACTCCCGGAAACATCACAAACTGCAATACAATTTGTCAACTTCCCCTTCTTTCCAAGATCTCCTACCATCCTAGACCACTGTAGCTCGGCCACCTCCCCACCATCTTTATCATTCAGTGACCCAATGATTTCATGGGGAAGCAACGCTCCTGCAGCAATCTTCGCCTTCCCAGTCTTCACCTTCTCAAGATACTCTTGAAACCTCTCATTATCATGCTTTGCAAACAACTCCTTGTAATTCTTCATTGCCACAGATGCAACCCTATTGTAAGGAAGCAAGTTCCATGCATTTGCACTCATGTAAACCTCCGGCAACTCAAGTGCCTTATGCAATGGAACAAGCACTTGTTTCCTCAGTCTATCCCTTACCCTATACGCATAATGCCCTTCCTCTAATTCCTTGTACTCTTTCTCACTCTCACGCGGGAAAACTCTCCGGCCAATCCCCTCACATATCAAAGTAGCCTTATCATAAGACGAATCAATCGAAGGACACCATTTCGCAGCCAAACTTAACTTTAACAAGTTCCCGTCATTCAAATTCTTAATGTCAGATTTCAAGTACTCAGCGAACAATTCAGCAACACAATCAAACAAAAACCGATAGTTAGAATCAAAGTTATACTTATCTAAAGCCCTTTGCGCTTTTGCTTTCTCCCTCTCTTTCCTCATAATCCTAGCTTTCTCTTTGTCAATTCCACTACCCATTTCCTCCACAGTTCCTAAAATCCCATCGATTTCTTTATCTGAAATCTCTTCTTTTCCATCACTTTCTAGCTTGAATCTTCTCGAAGGCTTACTTTTCCTCGAAAATCTTTTCCGTCCTCTTTTTCTATCCTTGAATTCCTTTTTCTGGATCTTTCTCAATTCAGGTCCTTCCAGGATCCGGTAAAGAATCTCTGGGAAATCCTTAAAATACCCAAATTCAGCAATAGACTTAAGATTAGACGCAAGGGTTTTGGGATGATTACTATAAAGCCAAATTGCCGCCGTGTAAAACCCTTCTTTATCAGATTTCCCCGTCCCTCTTACACCCCTGAGATTACAAATCAATTTTAGAGTGGTTAAAGCATCGTGTGCCCAAGCCAATTCCAGCCGTTTGGTTAACTGGTCAGACGGCGTATCAGGAACCACGTGAAAGAAAAAGTCCAAACAGGCATTGCCGGATGAAAGAAAAGTTGGAGAAAAATTTTCCGTTCTTCCCCTGCGTGGTTCTCCGGTGAGTTTGAAGTCTGCGGCTTGAGTAGTCAGAGATTGCACGATAGGGTCGCTGCTGACGGTGGTGTTTGTGGTGGAGGAGGGGTTTAACGTTGGTTCAACAGCGTGTATCGCCGGCGGGCCGTAAAGTTGAGCGATGGAAGTCATATTGTTCTTGAAGTGTGAAAAGAAATGTTTTGGAATTTCATCGCACTTATCATCGGTATATAAAGCACGACAGAACACGTCACCTCAGGAAGAATCAAAGCTATTTGGACCCCAAGTTTTGGGTTTAATGCTGAAATTGGTTTAACCACTTGGAAAGAACACGTCACCTCAGGAAGAATAAGAGCTACTTGGACCCCAAGTTTTGGGTTAAATGCAAAAATTGAGTTAAATATTAAAAAAATTTTAAATTAAGGTAAAATATTTTAATTATAATAATTAAAAAATGATTTTTTTTATTTTTTTATAATTAAGAGGTAAATAGATAGACGGATAGAGCATATATCACACGTGATAAAAAATTATTTGAATTGATGATATGATAATTAATTCAGAAATAATTATCACATATCATGTTGAAAATATAATTATTATACATAATATTAAAATTTTAATTATTATTGAAAAATATAATTATTATACGTTATGTTAAAGATTTAATTATTATACATAATATTGAAAATTTTAATTTTTATACGTCATGATGAAAAAGTTATTACACGTTATATTATATTAAAAAATATCAACATTTATTATAAAAATAATAAAAAATAAAAAACGCGTGTTTTACATGCGTCAGACACCTTTCATTCTAATTTTTTATTATAAAAAATAAAAAACGTTTGACCTTAATTGTTATAATTAAAATGTTTGATAAAAATAAAAAATTTTGATCTCAAATTGGACATTTAGTCCAAATTTGTGATTATGAGATTAATTAAAAATCAATTTGCAATAACCATGGTAAAATATATTCATCCAAGTTTGATAAAAACCAAAGACAGTGACAATAATAAACCAAAGAGACTTTTTTGCAATTTGCCAGCCATCCGGAATCATTCTTTCCATTGTTTCCAGACTCACCCTGATCAAATGCAATTTGCCAGCCATGAGAGTTACTTCCAAAGCACTGGCTGCACATCAATTTTATTAGTCATTTCAACACAATTGTAAAACTACATATGAAAGTAGGCCAAGGCCGACATATTATAATGCTGCAACCCATGCTGCTGCCTAGGTAGACTTTACATTTATAAATGGATAATTGCTGATATTATAACCAGAACTCCTCTAAAACATCCACAATTTGACTCAAACTCCCTAAGCTTAGTCTTTGTGGTAAGAATATAGGATTTAAGTAGAAACTTTAAAATATCTTTAAAAAAAAAAAGAAATTTTAATTATTTCTCTGAAACCACCCAATTTGACATGCAATTTTGTTACAGTACTATTTATCTATTCTGATCTTAGCCTCAAAAATAACATAGATGCTTTTCACCAACTGTTGTCATTTGTACAAGAACATAACTTACAATTTGCAATGCTTTAATTTTGCATGAATATCAATAGGTTTAATAGCAATACTGCAAAAACAACAGCAACCCAAGAACACTATTTGAAGGTTTTGCAAAACCAATTAAAGAAAACAAACTAATTGGGCTGCCTTATATATGAAGTTTCTTTCGTAAACTACATAGCCAAAATAGAAGCTGAGGAGTCTACATTCATTATTAATGAAACTATTATTCACTACAAGAGCTAATCTTTCACATACATCATCAAAAGCCTTTCTTAACATAAACCATACATGATAATCTACGAAAGTTAGTGTCGAGAAGAAAGGCAGTTGCTGCAGACTGTAAGGCTTCTCTAGTATGGCTTGGGGTTTGGGATGATTAAACAGGGTGGTGGCAGAATATTATCTAAAGAGAATTCATATATTGGCTTGACACTTCCATCATTCAGGTTGTATATGCCCATATCATGACCTCCACATAAGTAATCTTCTGTCATTCTATCCCAATTATTATCAGTGTAAGTTAAGCTCTCTTCACAGTTGGGAAAAGATTGAGCTGAAACTGAAACAGACTGGTTTCCACAAAAAACAAAGCACGATTGTCCAAAGAGTTCATCTCCACCCATTTTAGCTCATTGAAATCCAACTTATAAACGTGAAATAAAAATGTGTTATAAGGACAAACCTTAGGCTGTATGCCGATCGCATATAAAAAATCTTTTTCACAAACCAGTTTCCCATCCGAATCCACAAACTCGCCAATAAACCTCACCAGTAGCAGGATATCCCCTCATGATTCGACCAAGTATTACCTGCTAGTACAAAGATCTCTCAAGGAATTTCTTTTGGCGAGTGACTTCTCAGGAAAAGGAGCCACAGCATATCTAATTTTTCCCATAAAACCGCCTTGAAAATTCAATATTTCAATATTATTCCCCTCTCCCAGTGCTAAGAGATGATTTTCATGGCATATGATATCTTGGTAGGGCGGATGCCTAGCGTCAGGTGCTTCAGTCCAGCATCTGTCTTCATCATTATGATATGCAATCTTTTCATCATTGCACAGCAGGATCACATCATACTTTTCATTTTGTTACAATCGGGTTCTCCTGTCAATATGAAATATTCTCGTAGGTATTGCTTTTTATATTGACAATTTATTAGCCGAAAATAACCCTCAGAATCGTCAAAACATGCGACTTCACAGACACGATCCGCCTTTCTTTCCATTCTTTGTAAAGCTAGCAGAGCATATAATGAAGGAAGTCGGATTTTCACTTGCCTGAAAGGGTGGAATAGAAACGGGACAGCTTTTTCCTCCAAGAAAATGAGCCACCCGTTTAATGATCCAATGCAGCAACTTTCCCTGAACTTCTTCGGTATCTTTTTCAGGCTACAAACCTGACTTTCCCCAAGTTTCAAGAAGCCACTATAGGCATTGTTATCAACATCATATCCTCCTACTTCTTGTGAAGGAAGCACGAGCCAGGGCGTCCTTGGAACAAGCTCTTCTCCGAGTGAGTTCCAAGAGAAACAAACAACTTTCGCTCGAATAATATCAATGATATCAAGCCTGTTGAAGATAGACCACAACATATCAGCAGGAACTTGATCAACAAGGGTGGATGAATCATGACTTTTCCTCCTCCTCTTGGTGGAAGAACAAGCGGCCTTAAAAAAATAAATATTTAATAAAATTGTTATTAAATTATTTTTTATCACATTAAGGTAAATCTAACAAATTAAGATGTGATATTGAATAAGATTTATATTTGATGCACTGACAATGTATAGCTCTCATATACTGTCAGGGCATCAAATGGCATTACCATACTAAAAACTAAATTTAAAATTTTAAGGGATTTAAAAATAAATATTATTAATTTTAAAAAAAGTAACCAATCTCTTCTTCTTCTCATATTATTCTTCTCCCCTTATAATTTCAAAACTCTACATACTTAATTTTGATTCTTAAAGATAAAATTTATTTCAATCTTCTTCTCACCATTTTCTATATGTTGTGATTGTTTATTTATCACTTTTAGTTGATTAACAAAAGAAGCTTTTCGAACACCTTTGAAACTCAAACGATGAAGACATCATTCTAAAGTTTCAAGGTGACAATTAATCTTGTGGGAGTCACACAGCAAAAAGGAAAAATGAATTTTTGTTTACAATTTTTGTTTGGGGTTGTTTTCCGGTTCATTTGTTTATAGATGTAAAAGGAGTTTTGCTCGATAGATTTTTGTTTCGTCCTGTTTAATCTCCAGTGAACTTGGAATATGTGGACTTGCTGGGTGTTGAAGAAAGGCTAAGTTCTAGATTTTTTGAGTGCTGCACGTTGCTATGCAAGTTGGAACCTGCCGCATTTATATTCCCAACAGGCAATTATATTTCTTTAGGAATGATGTTTTGCTTTCCAAGTTTTTCAATTGCTTTATGCATTACATTCAACTAGCAAGTTAACCATTGCTCAACAAATCAAAGATTTTACTTCATTATCTATTATCATTTTTTCAAAGTAATTTCAAATAGGAGAGTGAAATAAATATTAAGAATTAAATTAAGAAAAAAAGTAATATAAATATTACTTTGAAGAATCAAAATTAAGAATTTAGGATTTTAGTTTGCAAAAAAAAAATTAGGATCTTGAATCTATTGTTGTTGAGGGATGAAGAGGAAAAGATTGAATAAGAAAGAGTTAGAGAAATAAAAAAAAATTTAATTTTTTTAAAAATAATAATATGTATTTTTAAGTCCCTTTCTAGTGCTGCTTGTCGTGGGATGGTCAGCCGATGAACGGGAGCATAGTCAACCGGTCATATTATTTAAGAAAAAAAATAGAGTAGAAAGAAGAAAAGGTGTTGTAGTTTTTTTTTCCATTTTCTATTAACGGTATTTATACTTTTGGATTTCATTATCCATTTCGAAAATTAATGGATTCAAGTGAAATTATGACTAAAAGTAAAAGGTGAGAATATTTTACAATTCTTCATTTTATTTTTGCTTCATTGATTTGTTTATTTATTTTTTGTTAATTTTGAGCATTTTGAGTTGATGCATTTGTTGGTTTTGATTATTTTCCATACATGAAATTCTTAAAATGTTTCTTAATAATATAAATTTTCAAATAAGATAGTTATTTTTCATGTTAATTTATTAATTAAAAATTAAAAAATATTTAATATTTTAAAATTAAAGTCTAAATTTGAAAAATTAAAACTTATAAAAAATAATTTATCATGTTTGAATTAAAAATAAATTAATTAATTAATATTATACGCATGTCGTGCGATATTTAATTGAAATATAATATATTGATTTATATCATTTTTAATTAATATTATAACGAATATATGATACTGGTACTTACGAATATAACAATATATAATTAAATTATTTTGTAGAAAGTTGTGTCTAGATAATGTGTTTTGTAAGTAGGGTTTGTTTGCAGGTGATTTTTTGTAACTTCTGTTTATCTAGTGGTATTAGATGGAGCTGCAAATTTGATGTTATATAGCATGGAAATGAGATGGCTTGCAAGAAGTGGTTAATGAAGAATTATATTTTGTGTGATCTTCAAGTTTAGGAAAGATGATAGATATCTTCCCATCAGTCTTGTGTAATGTTGTCATTTGGTATGTAATGACAATGAATGTCTTGAATGGTGTGGAATTAAGGGCAAAAAGAAATTGGTGGGGACAATGTGAATGCTTCACAAGGTACTGTTTGCTACGTGTCACGGTGTTATTTAAAGAGCCATGAGTGGACAATGAAAAATAAAAGTTGTCTTGGATGGCTATGATTTTACGATAGTTGTTCCGTTTTTTATTTTTGAATTGCACAAAGGTAGGTGGTTATGCAATAATGGTTCTTTTATGATGATGGTGTTGTTGTTGATGTGCAGGAAATAGCACGGAACCTTGATTTCTAGTGTTGTGTAATTATAGTTTGATTTTTTCTAAGTCAAGTCAAGAGCAAGATGGCTTTTGATGAGTTCGGATATCACCTTTGAGTACTTAATACATGAATTTGATTATATTTTTTTTAATTTTATGTAATTATAGATAAATTTATGTTATTAATTAAATTAATTAATTATATTGATTACTAATTAACTTGTAATATCTTTTAACATATATACTTTATACATTGTTATGTTAATTTATAAAAATATAATTATTATTACAATTTAAATATAAACATATTTATTTTCTATTTTGTTTAACGTTATCAAAATTATAACTTATAAAATTATTAATTATAAATATATACTTTATTTATATAAACTTATAATATAGGCACCTAGCTATTTTTTAATTTTATATAATTAAGGACAAACTCATATTATTAATTAAATTAATTCATAAAATTATGATTATTAATTAATTTATAACGTCTTTTAATATATATATATACTTTATATATTGTGTTAATTTTATAAGAATATATTTACTATTATATATATATACTTTTATTATATTTATTTTAAATATAAACATATTTATTTTTTGTTTTGTACAAAAATTATAACTTATAAAATTATTAATTATAATATATATATATATCTTCTCTGTATAACTTATATATATATACTTGTGAGATTAGAATAGTTTTGGAATCTTGTTAATTAAACCTGTAATGTTTTTACCTTGTTGTAAACTTGTAATGTTGTTTAAGTTGTTGTTGAATATTTGTTTTTAGTTATTAAGTTGATATTTGAGATATTTTTTATTATTTAAATTTTATTATTATTAATATGCTTTTATAGATTTAATTATTAGTGAACTATATGGAATATGGATAAGAAATATTATTAAAATTGATATAGGTAAAGATTCGGATTCAGATAATTGAGTACTCATTCAGAGCATTTTAATAATTTTTTTTATATAACTGAATTTTTAAACGAGTTTAAGTAATTATCGAGCAATAGGCACATATTAGAGTTAGGGTTGGATAGTAAATTTAAAAAATATTCGAATAGTTATAGGGTTTAGATACTTCAAAATTAGAAAATACCCTACTTGTTGACATCCTTTACCCAAATTGAATTCACTATGCTATGGGAGTTTTTTACTACCTAAAGAAGAGACTTGAAAGCATTACAGTTGCGAGGCTAACAAATTTGTTTTAAAAAAAAAATTGTACTTACTTATTTAGATTGATATGTTAGTGAAAAAGGGATATATTTTTGAATTTGTCATTAAATTTTTTTCATTATTTTATAAATAAATAAAATTTTCCATCCACTAGTCAACCTTTTGAATTGAAGATTTATTTAACGCAAATATAACATCAATATAGATATAAACCTTTAAAATTAAATTAGTATTTATCCTTTTTTTTTGTAACTTAGTATCATTTAAATTGATATATATACACCACATTTGGTAAAAGGAAATCAATATATATATATATATGAACATGTCTATATTGTGGAATAAGTCCCTGCGTATGTTTTTCCTAGAAAGTGGACATTATTGTCAGTTAAGATACAAGATTGGAAGAAATCTATCGAGTTGCAATTTATTTCATAATGTTGTTTCTACCTAGTATGGTGATCGTTATATAATGTTGCTGCCTACATGGTATAATAATTAGATAATTGTTCCTTTCAGCTTCTTAATTTCTTTGCTCAAATTCAAATTGTTTAGGAAAAAAATAATTCTTTAAGCTTGGACAGAGAGGGACGGATTGCGCCATATTGTTGAAACCTACTTCGAGGTTGCCCATTGATGTTTCAAGATGGAGATATTTAAATTGGTTTTGATAAAATGGAAGAAGCATCTTTATTGATAGAATTGTCAATTTTGTTTTATTTGTACTATTTTTCTTGTATAGTTAAATCAGCATGACTTAGGATACCAGTTGTGCGCCCACAAGGGACTCAAATTACACCCCACGCTCCAAGAAATTGCACTGGTCCCTTGACAGAAGAGCCTACAAGTTGGTTGAGTCGAACGGGTATTTATTGCTTGGAAATTGTCCAAGCAATTTCCATGAACCACCGCCCCTAATTTATATATGCAAACATCTATCATTGTCTGACTACCATTCATTTTCCCCTCTTACTTAATAAACATACACACAAGTTGGTAAAAGAAAAAAAAAATAAAAACTTATATCCTGAAAAATGTCCATATATATGTTCCTTTTAGAAAGTATATTTTGGAAATTGTCCATGCATATGTTTTTTCTAGAAAGTGAAATGGAATTTTCTTTGATTAATTCTTGCCGGTCCAATATGGGATGTGAGCAACTCCATTGACTTGCAAGTTTACATAGTATCATGATGGTTATATAATGTTGCTGCCTCCATAATATCATAATTAACCATTTGTCTTTTGCTTCAATTGAAATTATTCAGAAAAAAAAAAAAATTCATCCAAGCTGCGATAGAGAGATGGACGAATTGCGCCAGATTGCTAAAGCCTACTACGAGCTTGCCCCCAAAAATATTCAGAAGGAGGCTCAAAAGTTTTTCAATGAAATTGACTTCAATGGTGATAGGCCTAATTTATAGCGCTTGAAGAATTCCTGGAATTCATGAAGCAAAAACCATATAGTGCTTACAGGAGTTCTAATTTGTTCAAGGAGCTTTGCAGAGGAAACGGTGCCAACAAATTGGGGTTCATGGACGTCATGACTCTCTACTATATAGTTCAAAGTGGAAGGCCATTTTGCAATGGTTGTGATGAATTTATCAAAGATGTCTACTTTTGTTGCATGGAATGCTTCCACAGCTCCACCAAGTATTGCCTTTGCCTTCAATGTTACAAGGCCAAGAAATATAGAAATCACCCTCATCGTCAATTTTTGGATAACTTCACTTTGCGTGAAGCCAATAGAAGAAATGCATTAAATGGCGTAAAATTCCCAAATCAGGTTCGTCGGAACTAACTCGTAACCAAACTGAGAAACTTCTTCTGTTGATACAATTGTCAAGCTTGCTATAATTACTTTATTAAAATTTTATAATATTCGTATAGGTTAAAATCTACATGTTTGTGACAATATAATCAAACTCGTAATCAATGTATTTGCAAAATTTATATCATAATAATCCAAAAATTTTATATATTTGACCCTTGATTCAAGTTTTCTCAGGGTTCATCTCTGCGTATGTACGATGCGGAAGACGACGGAGAAAGCTCTGGTGCAATTGTTGCGGTGGGAGCAGCAATAGTGCTGTATAAAGATAAGGTAGTACCTGCTGCGCCTTTTTCTGTTAATTAATTTATATCCTTGCACTTAATGGTAATAATGACAATCCTCCCTCCTCTAGGAGAAGAAACGGGAGAAGATGAAGGCCGCGCTCAGAAGGTTTCAGAAAGCACTGCATGCTGGAGGAGCTGTCGATGCAATACCAAAGTGTAATATTCAGTGAAACGCAGGGATAAAGCCGTCAAAGTCTTTGCTTTAGGGTTCACAATTTTATATAATATAATTATTTATATTAAAAATATATAATAAAATATTTTTTAGATTAAGTAATTATGAAACTTTTTTGTCCCACTTCCTATCTTTTATTAATTTTTAATTATTTATGTCACTTTTTTATTTATGTAAAAGTTAAAATAATTAATAAAATTATATATTCTCTTACTTTCTCAATTATATGTCTAATAAATTTTTATTTTTTATCATTTCTCAATTTTCATAATACTAATAATTCTCAATAAATGTAATATGTTTTTAATGATCTCAAACTAATGATATTTTTTTAATTTTAATAAAAAAGATCTCATTTAAATATTTAAGCACTTTAAACCTTTAAAAATATTAAACCGTCCCTGGTGAAAAGAATTCTTTTAACATGTAGATTTACAATTTGAGATTGGTGTTGATTTGTATGATCTAATAAGTTAAGACTCATTTCAAAATGGACTAATGAATAACTTCACTAAATGGGGGTTGTTGTCGTTGTGATCGTCAATATCATTATCATTGAAATATTGTCATTGTAATTTTTTTAAAAAAATTCAAGTAAAAAGATTTTTTAATAATTATTTATGATTTTGTTCATGTAAAAATTTTTATTATTATTGCAAAAGATTTATTAAAATAGACAATTTGTACTTGACAAATGTGAAATGAATGATTTCCTCCCATATTTATCTTTCTTTATTTTACCTGTTTATAAATTCATCTCATTTTATCACAATATATAAATAAAACTAAGATTTTTATTAAAAAACGTGATCTATCATTCATTCTTTATTTGTTTAAAATTATTTTTGTAATTTTATAAATTTATAAATTCATTTTACATCAAATAGTTTGTTATTTTTACATAAAACATAAAATGTTTGTATTGTGAAATGTAAAATATCAATCTATATAGATTTCTTTGAAAATGTTTTCTGAGAATGGTTCAATGAATAGATTATATACAAATCTGGTTTGATACAAGAAGAGACTTAAATTTTAAACCTTTTTAATTAATAAAACTTAAAAAAGAAAAAATTGTTTCAATCTCTTGAGTTTAATTTAATACCTCGTGCATATTTTAGATTATTTTTCTCTCATAACTTAAAAAATAAAATGAAGTGAAATTGCAGAAAAACTATTAGATTCAGACAAAACATATGATACACCTTACTCAAAATCTTCGTCAGCTAAAAGACAACAGTGGACCCCATCAGATCGAAGATCTCTCCAAAATATCCATGCTTACCCTAAAGAAGCTAAAAACAAAAAAGAATTTATATAATACAAATATTTTTAACATGAGAAGACAAACAACGAGAGGAAGAATCAAGAGAAATTCACATAAATTTTATTATTTTATTATATTTAATTAATGTTTTAATATTTTTATCATAAAGTAAATGAGTGTTTATAATTAATAATTAATTTAAATGTCATTTTTTATTTTATATTTATATAATATTAATGGGTGAAGTGAAAAATTATGTTATTGTGATGGATTTGCATGCTAAGTCACAACATTTAAGCAGGTTATATCAATATTAAGTGTCATAAAATGACAAGTAATGTTTTAATTAATAATATTTTGATTAGAGATAAAAATTTATTTAATTTTAAAAAATATAAAATTATAATTAAATAATATAAAAATTATTTAAATTTTTTTGAATAATTATGGATTTGTTAAATGCTGCATGCCAAAATAACTTTTTTTTTTTCGTTTCTTGGTGGCGAGAAAGGAATTGAAGAGAGCAGAAAAAAAAAAAAAGCTGAACTTCTATTGCGTCAAAAACCTCTAACCCACTCCCCAAGAAAAAAAAAGAAAAACTTGGGGAATTTTCTGAAAAGCTTTTATCGGGTTCAGTTCCTTAATTTTCCCACCACAAAAGGTGAGAATTGAGAGTTGTATGTGAAAATTGAGTCAAGCATATTAAATTATTTTATTATTTATTATTTATATTAATTATTAAATAAAAATTTATTTTAAAGAAACATTAAGAAAATTTATAAAAAAATTTAAAAATTTTATATAATATGAAAAAAAATTTAAAAATTTTGGATCATGGCCCCATGCCGGCTACAGCCCTGAGGATAATAGCTTTTTTTGTTAGTTGTTTTTAGATTTAATGAATTATTTTTTTTATCTGGTTACGCCATAGTGTTATATTTTTATCTAATGGTATAGATATGTAAAAATACCATATATGTGGTCCATTTTTGTAAATGATTTATTTGTTTCAAATTTATTGTCTTGGTTTATAAATTTGATCGGGTTGGAAGCAAATTAATGAGATTTTATTTAAATTATTCGAGAAAAACTTATTTAGATTTCAACAAAGACATGATCAGATTGTTTTAGATCACTAAAACTTACATGAGCTAGTTGACCCAATCTAAAAAGGAAATTGGTTAAAGAGAGACTAGAACAGAAAACTCCTGTGAGTGGAGATGAAGTCGTAAGCAATAGTCTTCCTGTTTTTTTTTTCTTCCTTGCTTAATTTTTTTTTTAATTTTAAGTATTTGGAGTTGATGGGTTTGTTGGTTTTGATTCTTTAGATTGCATTACGATTCCTTGATAGAACCAAGTTTGATTCTAATTGGGATAGAGTATCTATTTTCTAAGTTCAAGGTTGTGAATTTATTTATTTTATTATGTTTTGGTTTAAGGAAACTTAAAAATTTAAATTATTAATTAATTTTAGTTGATTATTTGGAGTATCTGTTCTCTCCTTATAATGCAAGAGAAGTAACGAAGAGTTGGAAGGTGGAAGAGTAAAAAATTATCATTTTCACTATATAACTATTGGATATAATTTTTGAATTTGAATTAAAGTTACTTTTTTGGACTAGAAAAGATTTTGTTAAAAAGGAAAAATGATGCACGTGCAAATTTTCAATTCTTTACCCATTTATAACACTCACTGTTTAAAGAATTCAATTTTTTACTTAATTATTCGCTTACTATGATTTTCTTCTATTTATGACATTAATGAAGCTTATTTAAAAGATGGAATAGTCACTTCAAAATTTGATGGGCAGAGTATATTGTTAGAGATGGTATGTGTGATTTCTCTCTATTATTTATTTTTAATTGTCTTAAATCATCTATTCATTTAATTGTTGATTAGTGATGTTAACAATAATTAGTGAAAAACATTATTTTTAAATAATAAAAACCAAAAATGTCATTTTGAGGGTTTTTTTTAAAATTTTATCCATGTTTTCAATATATAATTTCAATAATTGGATAAGATAAACTTAAAATTAATATTGCTTCATATCGTACGTATGTGATGCAGTACACGTGTGATACTTGATTAAAACTAGTAAAGATAAAGGAACACTAGTTGAAAGAGAAAAAAGACCAACAAACTTAAATAAAGTTTTCGTAATTTTATTAATTGGATAGGATAAAGCCTAAATAATATATTGTTTCATATCGTACGTGTGTCGTGCAATACACATATGATATTTAATGATAACAATATAATATATAAATTTATATAACTTTTTATTAATATTGTAACAAATCGTATAATACATATTGCGTGTCATATATATATATATATATATGAAGAAATTAATTAAAGAGGGTAAATGATTAAGAGTCATTGTTTTGTATCATATGTGTATCATGTGATACACATACAATATTTAATGATAGCAATATAATATATAAATTTGTACATTTTTTCATCAATATTGTAACAAATCGTATAATACATATCGCATGTCATATATATATATATATATACGAAAAGAAAATTAATTAAAGATGATGAAGGATTGGAAACTCCTGAAAATGGTGATGTAGTTGAAAGTAATGAGTTTCTTCTTTTTATTCTTATTTCATTGATGTGTTTATTAATTTTTTTTGTTAAATTTGAGTATTTGAGTTGATGCGTTTATTAGTTTTAATTATTTACTTTGCTTTACACTAAAATTTTGAGAACCAAGTTTTATTTTTTATTTAAACTCTTAAAATATGTATTTTCATATTAATTTATTAATTAAAAATTAAAAAATATTTAATATATTAAAGTTAAAGGGAAATATGAGTTTTTTAATATTTTTTGTTTAAAATGTAAATTTTAAATATTAAAATTTATAAAAAATAATTTATCATGTTTCGATTAAAAATAAATAAATAATATTTTTTTAATAATTAGATAAGATAAAAGTTAAAAAAATGTATTATTTCATATCATTCGTGTGTCGTGCGATACATGCATGGGCAAACCCATGTGAGTGGTGTCACATGACACTGCTCAACAAAAAAAAGTATTTATTTATTATATTTTTTAAAAATTATGTATATTTAATAATATTATGACTTACTATTTTTTTGTAATTTTGTAAGAAATGAGGTCAAAAGGTAGATTTTATTAAAAAATTTATATATTAATAATATTTAAATATTCTCTTTAAAAAAATTTAAGTATTATCAAAAAGTATATTTATTAAAAAATAATTTCAATATTAATATTTAAATTTTACTTTTAGAATTTTAAATTTTATTAAAAAAGTCAAAACCTAAATTAGTTTCCGCCTTCAAAATTATAATTTTACTCTTGAGATCTAAAGTGACTTTCTTCTTCTTGATCTTTGGCATTGTCTTTCACTCTCTCAAAGCAACTCAATTAAATTTTAATTGTAAGTAATTTTAATCTAAATTAAGTTTTTAAATATTTCATGTGTAAGCATTTTTTGATTAATTTGATAGTTTAGATTCATAATTATAATTTTAAAATTATTAGTCTTTCTTTTTTTGATTTATTTTGTAGATACTGATTATTTGATTTTTATATTTAACTTTATATGATTTGTAGATTGCTATATTTAGTTTTAATTAATGAAAAGAAAATTATCATATTATTAGTTGTTGAACTTGATAATTTGTTATGTAAGAACATATTTTATTTAATTCTAATATTTTAGTTTATGCTAATGAGTTTTTAATAAGTTTTTATAATTTTAGATAAATAAGTCATAAAAAAATATTTTAAAAAAATTATTTCAAAAGAATCAGATCCAAACAATAACGACAACAAAATTCTACTAATGATCATAGTCAACAAT